CTGTGTCTTCTTAACTTTCCTTCTAAAGTTATTTGAGGGGACTGTGGTTTTTGCCTTAAGCAAAACCCCCTTAACAGCCGGGAATCTAAAAGCAAACAACATTATTTTATTAGGTTACCCCAGCAGATGAAAGGAGTGTTCCATTTGGACTCTTTTTGGAGTCAATTAATGCATTAGCTAAAAACAAACCTGAAAGAGAGTTCCCGTGGTCTGCAGCAGTTTCTAAGTGAAAACTTGAGGAACAGAAAGAATGAACTGTAAACAATTACTTCATGGATTAAAACAAAAACAAAAACAAAAATAAATTTGTAACAATACATCTCAATCCTAATGTAGTACTCATTTCAAAACATGTTTTTTTGAGACCAGCAGTTAGAGTAATGATTATGTTGCTGGACTCTCATGTAGTTGACCGTGGTTCGAGTCCCGGACCTGGTGGCTTAAACTCATACCAGATGCGTGTGTGTGCGTGCCCAAGATCTGAGGGGAGAATGGAGGAGAAGGGATTGCGGCATGGCCATCCCCCTGGGGGGTGATTTCTGGCTTTCTGTCTCTTTAGTGAGCACATGCACTCTATAGCAAAAACCTCTCAAAAAAACAAAAACAAAAGCATGTTTTTTTTTTTTTTTAAACTTTCTTAATAATGACCAGGAAATTTTAATTTATAATTTATGAGATAGTTTCTGACATGAAGTAGCCAACTAACTGATAACAATTTTAAGTTACTGTAATTTCTTGGGGCTGGCAGGTGGCATGGTGGTTAAAGGTGCTGGATTCCCATGTGGCTGTTTGAGTCCCAGACCTGGTGGCTTGCTTTCTCCCTTTCCCTTTCTTTCTCTCTCTATCTCTCTCAGGTCAAATTAAAAAATAATAATAACAAATGGAATTAAATAAATAAATAATTCTTTTAAAAATAGCTATAATTGTTTTAATAAAAAGCTTATTCCTGATTTCAAAGTAAGTGATTAATATATGACTGTTTTCAGCTATGGTTTGAACTCCAGCAAAAGAAAAGTCCTGTAGAGTAGGAAAACAATGGGAATTAGTCACTGAGGGGAAAAAAGTACATTTCTCAAAAATTCACATGCCTATCTACCCATGCACTCTTCAAAATAACTAAGAGCCTACTAAGAGAATCAAATATATAGTCTCCGCTGTCATGGAACCCAACCTGGACTTTCAAACTGAAGACTACTACAGTTTTAAAAGAAAAAGATGACAAATCTCTTAGGTGTCTCAGACATGAAAATGAATCCATGAGGGGCAGCTGCTGGTGTGGTAGTTACAGCGTAGGACTCCCACATGGCTGACTGTGGCATGAGTCCACTAACTGTGGCTTGAGTCCACTAACTGTGGCTTGAGTCCTGGACTTGCTGGCTTGAAAATCACACCAGGTGTGTATGCATGCGTGCCTTAAATTCCAAGAGGGGAATGGTGGAGAAGGGAATGAGGCATGGCCATATCTCCTGAGGGGGGTGATTTCTCACTGTCCCTCTCACTATCTCTCTGTTTCTCTCCAGCAAACGCATGTGCCTTATGGTCAAACAAACGAACAAACAAAAACAATAAACCATGAACTACTGATCTTCAGAACATCGAAAGTACACTCTTTGGTGAGAATTGGGCTATTCCCAAAGGTAAAACAAAAGGCACACACCCATTTGTAGGCAGTGGCATATATGGAAAGAACATTTCACTCCTCTGACCAGGGAATGTGTCTTTAAAAAAAAAAAAAAATCTTTGGGAAAACTGACATCCTGAGAGCTTTTGATTACACTGAATTTCAAATGAAATTTTGCCCAGTGGCAAGGATACAAATTCATCCCCACAAGTATGGCTTCTGTGGTAAAGGCCCATGATGATTTCTCTAGAGGGTTTACCTAGCAGGATGATAAATGAGGACATAAGATAAAATTCACCAACTTACCACTATTGGAGATCTCCCTCCTACCTGGAGAATTCCAATGTGATTTGCATTTTGAATATCTCATTGGAGGAGGTTACAAATAGTTTGAGGCATAATTTGTTCCCGTTTTTATTCCCTGTTCACTGAGTTATGTACTGTTAAACATTTCCAGAAGACTGTCAAAATGTAAGCATCTCTAGGTTTACATAGGCCACACCATTAAATAACATATAAGTATAAAATTTTCAACATTGTTTTCTAGCAACGGTAAATATTTTAGCTAAGTAAAAACTGAAGCTTGAAATGCAATAAGCGTTTAAATGACTCCTTTCTGTGCCAGAATTCTTATCCCTCCCCTCCCCTTGCGACCCTGGCTGCTGGGATTAAGGTGACCCCAGGGAGCTCTGGCAAATGGCTGTGGGTTATGAGGTGTAGCAGGAGCTCAGCGATGGCATGCCACCCAGCCTCAAGAAACCCGGCCACGACTGGAACCCAGGGATCAGTGTGTTCACTTTGTGGTTAGCTTCACATTTTTCTCCTCCTTGGGAAAAAAAAAAAAAAAAAAAAACTGCTATGAAAGGAACCCCCCCCC